CCAACTCTGCTGGCAACTCCAACCGATAAGCTACCCGGCCTACCCTTGCAATCACACGAAATGGACCTATGAACCGGGGCCCCAACTTGCCCCTCTTCCTGAACCGGATCACTCCTTTCCAAGGAGAAACCTTCAAGAGAACGAAGTCGCCAACCTGAAATTCAAGCTCGGACCGGCGTCTGTCCGCATAACTCTTCTGTCGGCTCTGGGCGGTCAATAACCTCTGTCTAACCTGCTGAATCTGCTCTGTCGTCTGGAGTACGATCTCTGTACTGCCCATCACTCTCTGTCCCACCTCTCCCCAGCAAATGGGGGTCCGACACCTCCTACCATACAACAACTCAAAAGGTGGCATACCAATGCTCGAATGATGGCTGTTGTTGTAGGAAAACTCTGCCAAGGGTAAATGCGCATCCCAGCTACCCCCGAAGTCTAACACACACGCTCGAAGCATGTCCTCCAGTGTCTGAATCGTCCGCTCGCTCTGACCGTCTGTCTGGGGATGGTATGCGGTACTAAAATGCAGTTTAGTACCCAGCTCCTCATGGAATTTCTTCCAGAACCTGGAAGTGAAGCGTACATCACGGTCCGAAACAATCGAGATCGGCACTCCATGCCGAGATACCACCTCCTCACATATAACTCCGCCAACTTCTCCGCTGATGAACTCTCGCTGATAGCAAGAAAGTGTGCACTCTTCGTCAATCTATCCACAATCACCCAAATTGCATCGACTCCTCTGGCAGTTCTCGGCAATTTGGTGATGAAATCCATAGTAATCTGTTCCCACTTCCACTCAGGAATCTCCAAAGGCTGCAACTTACCATGCGGTCTCTGGTGCTCGGCCTTAAATCTACAGCAGGTCAAACACCTCTCAACGAACCAGGCGACGTCTCTCTTCATACAGGGCCACCAGTATTCCTTCCTCAAATCCAAATACATCTTTGTAGCACCGGGATGGATCGAAAATTTCGATCTGTGAGCCTCCTCCATCAAAGTAACACGCGTACCGCCCACGAACGGTACCCAAATCCAACCCTGAAACGTCAGAAGTCCTCGTCCATCCTTAACGAACTCTGAAATTAACCCAACGACCCGTTCTTTCTTTTGCATCTCGGATCTCACAGCCTCGGCCTATGCCCCACGAATAGCATCCAATACCGGAGTCATCACCGTCAGTCTCAGACATACATCTCGCAATGGAGTGCTCTCCGCCCTGCGGCTCAATGCATCGGCTACCACATTAGCCTTGCCCGGGTGGTATAGGATTTCGCAGTCATAATCCTTGACCACATCCAACCATCTCCTCTGATGCATATTTAGGTTGGGTTGATCCATCAAATACTTCAAACTCTTATGGTCCGTATATATCGTACATCGAACCCCATACAGGTAGTGACGCCAAATCTTGAGAGCGAACACTACTGCCCCCAACTCTAAGTCATGCGTGGGATATCTCGCCTCGTGAGGCTTTAGCTGCCTCGATGCATAAGCTATCACATGACCTCTCTGCATCAACACTGCACCCAGTCCTGAAATCGATGCGTCGCAATATACGACAAAATCTTCCATCCCTTCCGGGAGAGCTAATACCGGGGCTTCGCACAATCTCTGGCGAAGTGTCTCGAAAGAAGTCTGTTGCTCGGGTCCCCATGAGAATGCAACACCCTTCCGGGTCAGTCTGGTGAGCGGTACTGCGATCTTGGAGAAGTCTCTAATAAACCTCCGATAGTACCCCGCCAACCCAAGGAAACTCCTGATCTCGGAAGGTGACTTCGGTACCTCCCAACTCATCACTGCCTCGACCTTGGCCGGATCGACCAATATCCCTGCCTGATTAACAACATGTCCAAGAAATTGGACCTCCCGCAACCAGAAGTCACATTTGGAGAATTTTGCATATAGCTTCTCCGACCTCAGTACCCCAAGGACCTCCCTCAAATGTCCCTCATGCTGCTCTCTAGATCGCGAATACACCAGGATGTCGTCGATAAATACAATCACAGACCGATCCAGCATCGGCCTGCATACCCTGTTCATGAGGTCCATGAACACTGCCGGGGCATTGGTGAGCCCGAAAGGCATCACCACGAACTCATAATGCCCATATCGCGTCCTAAATGCTGTCTTCTGGACGTCCTCATCCCGCACTCTTACCTGATGGTACCCTGATCTCAGATCGATCTTGGAAAACCAAGATGCCCCTTGCAACTGATCGAATAAATCATCGATCCTCGGTAACGGATAGCGGTTCTTGACCGTCACCTTGTTCAACTCCCGGTAGTCAATGCACATCCGGTGTGAACCATCCTTCTTCTTGACGAACAGAATCGGTGCTCCCCACGGCGAGCTGCTCGGCCGAATAAATCCCTTCCCCAGCAACTCCTGGAGTTGCGAGGACAACTCTTGCATCTCTGGAGGTGCGAGACGATAAGGCACCTTCGCAATAGGCGCAGCCCCCGGAATCAGATCGATACCAAACTCTACTTGCCTCGCAGGAGGTACTCCCGGCAGCTCCTCGGGAAAAACATCTGGAAACTCGCGCACCACTGGAACCTCCTCCACTGACCTCGGTCTCTCGGAAGCCTCCCGCGTATCCATCACATACGCCACAAAACCCTTACATCCCTGCTGTAGACATTGCCTCGCCCTAGCGGCCGAACAAAAAGCTGATCCTGAACGGGTACCCTCGCCGTACACCGTAAGAACTCCCCCACTAGGGTCTCGTATAGTCACCAGCTGGCGCTCACAGTCGATGACAGCGCTGAATCGGCTCAACCAGTCCATGCCCACGATGACACAGACATCACCCATCGCAATAGGAACTAGGTCAATCGGAAACTCAACCCCGAAAATCTCTAGTACGCATCCCGAAGAACCTCCGTGGCACAAACCACCCTCTCGGCCGCTATAGAAACGCTCAGAGGCCGACTTAACGGCTCACGACTAATGCTGATATGCTGACTAAAAGCTAAAGATACAAAGGACCTACTCGCACCCGAATCAAATAACACTAGAGCAGGCATAGAGTTCACAAGAAAAGTACCTACACATATATTAACATAAGCATAACATCTCGACTTTAAATAAATACGTGAATTACAGCATACCTGCCACAACATCGGGCGCAGCGCGGACCTCCTCCGCAGTCAGCTGAAAGGCTCTCCCGCGAGCCCTCGGGGCCTCGACCTTCACCGGTCGAGTCTCAGTAGTCCTGGTAGTAGGTGTAGATCCCTGACGAAGCTGCGGGCACTCGGCCTTCCGATGGCCTGTCTGGTTGCAATGAAAACAAACCATAAACCCCTTAGGACAATCCCTGGCAATGTGTCCTTCCTTGCCACACTTGTAGCAACCACCAGCTCGGCACGCCCCCTCATGACTTTTGCCGCACTTCCCGCAAGTGCGGCCCTTCTGACCTCCCATCCTCGAATCAGCGGACTTGATCCGCTTGGCTGCCGGCTGAGACTGAGCCGGCCGCCGGTCCACCTGCCGAGACTCGGCCTCCTCCCTGGCCTGGGTCTCCAACTCGATCTCGCGCTTCCTGGCATTCGCCTGAAGCTCAGTGAAAGTACGATAGGTGGAGTTTGACACAAACTCCCGGATATCCCTCCTCAAAACGCCTAAATACCGGCTCATCCGTGACTGCTCTGTAGACACCAGCTCGGGGCAGAACATCGCCCTCTCGTGAAACTTCCGTGTGACCACCGCAACGGAATCAGTACCCTGCTTAAGAGTCAAGAACTCCTGAATCAATCGTTCCCTCTCCACTGGGGGAACGTACTCGTCCCTGAACATGTCAGTAAACCTCTCCCATGTCACCGCTGTAATCTCCGCCAAAGTGAAGTTCGCCGTCACGAACTTCCACCAATCCTTCGCTCCCAGACGGAGCTGGTTCAAAGCGAACCGTACCCTCAGGTTCTCCGGGCATGAGCAAGTGTAGAAGCACCCTTCAATGTCGGTGATCCACCTCATCGCAGCAATCGGATCCTGCGTCCCATCGAACTCAGGGGGTTTCGTGTTGCTGAATTCCCGGAATAGCAACGAATCGCCCCCTTGCGGCCTGGCAGCGGCCACGGCAGCGGCTGCAGTCTCAGTCAGTGCGGCGTACCGCTCTTCGAACGTCTCCATCAGAGTGGTCTTAATAGACCCAAACATCTCCGGGATCTCAGCCCGGATCGCTGCAGCTACCTCCTCCTGTATCATCTGACGAATATCCTCGTCGCTCACACCGCTCGAACTCGCCCCGTGGCGTGTGGTAACCATGATGTCTCTGAAATACAACATAAAATTATCAGAGACTCCATCAAGTACAAATGCACTTGATACACAACCCTACTCAGTCTCCGATATCCAGGGGTTCTTACTTGGGTCTCCCACTGACCTGGTGTCTTCGGTAGTACGGGCCCAATACTACCGACCACACCGTATCAGTATTCGTCCCAAATCTTCCTCCCCAAACCCCGAATAGTGAGTACTCTACTTTGATGTGCCCTATCTACCTGCACGCTATCAAATATCTCATATAAGCAAACTCCCTAGACTAAGGCATCACAAATCAGGCCACTCTAGTCCTATCATGAATACCTAGTCTTCTAGCATGCATAACAATTCATAATTCAGTGCATAACATAACATTGTAAGGTATTCTAGGGATCTTTACCGTTCAGGCGCTGGCTGATTGTACACACTGCTTCTTTCTTGTTTACCACTTTACCATTTATAAAAGTTTATGCCTTTATTATTTTTAAAAGATTTTCCTAAAATCCTCGGTTTGAGTTCAGTTACACCCAAAGGTACACCCGAATCCCTCAAACCAAGGCTCTGATACCAATTGTAACAACGCAAATTTTCAAATAAAATTTTCATTTAAAATAAAGTGATTTCATTCAACTAATTATAATTATTCCAAATTTCATATCAAAATACAATCATAAAATCCACAAGATCTCAAAACATCAACAGTGTGTACGCATCATGCCGGCGCCTTCCCACGGTCCTCGCTAGTACCTGAAACACATACATAACAACTGTAAGCATATAAGCTTAGTGAGTTCCCCAGTATACTACTTATGCATATACGCCTTTCCAGGCCTTGAGATAATCGCCTTCCGGCCCATAACATATTGCCTTCCGGCCCATAAACATACACAACAATTAATACATTTATCCTAACACATATAGCACATATATCATATATCATATCCGACCTTTCAGTCACATAACATATTGCCTTCCGGCCCGTATAAACATACATAGCACGCATAGCAAATACCTTACCATTTATAGCATGTATATCACAAATCCTATCCGACCTTCCGGTCACACAGTCAAACCCTTCCGGGTACAGTTTAGTGAGAAGACTCACCTCGTGGGTAATGAAAACTAGCGACTCTTGAAATCACTCGCACTCGATCCGCCGAGCTGCAGACTCCCTGAATAACGCACTCTCTGTGTCCCCAAACCTCAGAACTCGAATCCCTTGCTGTTCCTTTAGCCAAAACTCTTATCCTCCTTGCACAACAATTTCTTCAAGGTCATAATATCCTTCAATCTTGCTCTAGATGCCCACAACCGTTTAGGGTTCTTCTCAGTCGACTCAAAAACGGACCATGACGGCCTATAAGTGCATTATATACGTTCCAAAACCAAACGGCTAGGGTTTCCGCTGAACAACGCAGACTCGCCGAGTCCATAATGGACTCGTCGAGTCCAGTCGCGAACCCGCAACCCAGTCTGTGGTCCTACTCGGCGAGTATGGCTCCAACTCGCCGAGTCCCTTCCTAAAACACCCCAAAACAATATTATAAAAATACCTGAAATTCCGGGCTGTTACATCCTCAGAAAATGACTTGGCAAACAAATCTTCGGGTGGTATAATAACTGTCTGTGAAGGTGCAGAAGTATCTATTTGGAGATTTGCTTCAGGAGTTTCTGGAATCCTTTCATCTTCGTCATCTGTAGATTCAGAAGAGATGATCATTTTGCTTGTCTTATTCTTGTTCTTTGAAATATAATTAGCCATATCTGTAGCCCTTCGCTTCTTTGATGATGGAGAAACAAGCGCTAGATTTTCATGAAATATGACTCCTTGATGAGTAACATGTGGCTTTCGTACTAAATTTGTGAGTGGAGATCTGCTCTTGTGCTTTGAATTCATTTTGATTCTTCGAAAAACACTGGTCTTCGAAGGAATGATTTATTTTTGTTGAGTTTCTGGACCAACAGGCTTAGTTAAGGTTGAGTCAGTAACCGAAACTTCGTGTGTTACTGGCTATGCATCAGTAACCGATGGCTTCATTAGAATCTTCATAGACTTAGACTCCTTGACTGGTTTATCAGAAGAACCAGTTTCAGTCTTCTTCGTACGTTTTGACTTCATCTCCTCCCTTGCCAATAGAATCTCAATCTCAATAGTTGTATCGATTGTTTGTAAGTAAGTCACTAAGGCTGTATTCATTGGATCAACACGTTTGAGCATCGCATCAGGAATACGAGCTACAAAAGGAAACTCCTCAGGATCATCAGTTGCATCCTTCGGACAATTGTATACGTGAAACACTGCTTTTTCCTCATCATTTGGTACGAGAATACTCTCATTCTCGTAAAAACACTACAAAATCAAGCTCTAATATCTTGCACATGAAATGCCATGAAGAGCATTCGTGTTTTCGATACTCTTCAAAAATTCTTTCCATAGTTAAGTAGAATAATCTACTTTTAGGTCATAATAAAGCCTTGCAACCATGACATAAACCTCCATTCGACCCTTGTCAAGACAAACCGTTCTTCCTGTCAAACACTTCAAGAAAATACCAAATAAGAAATTCCAAACACTGGGAAGACCAGACTTCTTGAAGTCACTGATCTTTGATAATTGAGGTTGATGGCCGATTGCATTAAACATATAAATGATTTGAGGAAAGGTAAAATTGACATATGGTGGTGAATTAGGGATTTCCAAAATCTCATAGAAAAGCTTCTTGGACAGTGTAACATTTTTATAATTCACGAGATTGAAAGTAACTGCATCAAAAGCTTTTGAATATGTAGCAGTTGATCCAGCTTGAGAAAGTCAAGAGAGTGGAACAGAAAAAGAACTAAACATTGCTTTTGACAGAAAAAAACTCTTCAAAGCAACAATTAGCATCATGAGATCTTCAGGATATTGAGAAACATTAGCCTCCACTTGATAAATCATACCCTAAATCTACATAATCGGTAAAGAAGTAACATCATCAGTGGTGTGAGAAAGATTAGCATAAGGATTAGCAGCAGTCGCCATTGTTAGGGTTTGAAAGCTTGGTGTATATTTGAGAGCATTTTGGAATTATTGTGTTTGAAAGCGTAAACTAATAATGAACCCTTGAAATTCCTTTTATATGTAACCCTTGATTTTGAAATAAAATTAGGATGTGCATTTAATGAAATCTGATGTGGCACCGAGAAAACCGCATCATGATGATGATAAAGTGACCATGCGTGATAAAGTAACTGTCACGATGCCTAAAAAACCGGACAAAATACAAAACGTCCCCTCAAACAGGATGGTTTGTTTGTCCCAATGGAATAGTAACCGTCGGAACCCTTCGTATGGAAGTAAGGCTCTTTTACTTTTAGGCTTTAAAGTAAAGTCATTTGCCAGATGTTTGAAATCATCAGTATGAGTTGGTGTTACTCACAACCTCAAGGATTTCGTGTTTGCAGTGTTCCAAAGAATTTATATAAGAAGCAATAAAAAGAAAATTTTGGAATTCAGTGATGTCAAAAATTCAATTTGACATGAAGGAAATTAAAACCCCGGGTAAAGGTTTCTTCGTTAATCATCAAGAGAGATGATCAACAACTTGTGTATGTTCCTGTGAATTACAATCAAATACTTGTAAAGAAGTATCGAAGGGCTTCTTTAAAAGGCTTACTAGGTGGCTTAATGAATTTCGTTACATATCAACCTAAACATAAGGTGAGTAAGTGTAACAGAAATTACTTGTTTGACCAGTGTAGTCAGTGACAAGTTTGTTTTGGAAAACTTTTAAATGACTCTGAATTTCGAATAAAACTCACACGGAAATCATATACAAGAAAAAATTGTGTACTGGATCCTGTTAGGTAACAAACATCGTGGGTTTCGAATGTTTGATCAAGACCACTCATAAGAAATGAATATGATTTGGAGTTTCGAATGTAGTTACAGAAAAAAATGTTTTGTTAAAGCCTGGAACATAATTCCCCATCAATTCCTTAAATGTTGAGATATTTGGGTTTCACTTTCATCACGATCTCATGATGTCTGATCATAAACACAGAGTTTTGATATGTCTATGTTTCGATTGGTTTGATCAGATACCTCTTGGACATATGTCTCCGTGTGTGATTGTGTAAGAATTTTGAGATGAAAAAGATTGGTAGAAGACATGAAATGTACCTTTGTTATATTTAGACCAAACAGTAAACTCTTACTCATGTGAGATGAGTCAGGTAGCACAAAAGACTAATGTGAATACAAGCCTGATTTGGAAGAAATCTTTGTATGAAAATTTTTCTTAAGGCTTTCGAACACACACATTGAGTCAGTAGAGGCTTTGGTCAACATGTTGCAGCATGCGTCTAGGGACATCTTAACTAGTTTAAAGTGTTCAAAAAAATACCTAACCCTAGAACTGCAAGCATTACACCAGGTGAATCAGCACGTAAATTTGCAACAAAATACGAAATAGAAAAGTGAAACAAAATATTTTTGTTGTTTTTGGATTTTTGAAAAATATATATATTTTTGGAATTTTTAATTTTTTGAAAATAAAAAAATTAAAATCTTTTTGGAATTTTTGATTTTTCGGAAATAAAATAAGAAACTGAAATGTACTTGTTGCAAACATATGAAAAATGTACGAATTCGAAGGATTCGAAGAGTTGACTATGAACAATAACCTTTGAATACTGAATGACATTCCTTTTTCTTTGATTTCGTGCCTCTGAACCATTCCTTTTTAATCACCATTCTCCTTTTTTTGCATGGAACGGAGTTTCCATCGATCATCCCAAGTCCTTCCAAAATTCTTACAAATGAATTTTCACCTAAAGGTTTTGTGAAAATATCAACTAACTGATTTGTTTTTTTTCACAAAATGCACTTCAATATTTCCATCTTCCACATGATCCTTGATGAAATGATAACGAAGAGCTATATGTTTAGTCTTCGAATGCTGCATAGGAATATGTCAAATTCTTATGGGACTTTAAGAATCACAATATAATGGAATCCTTTTCATATTAATTGCATAATCACGCAATTGACTTTGGATCCAAGTTATTTGTGATGTACAAGCAGCAACAACTACATATTTAGCTTCATCAGTTGAAATTGATACACACGTCTACTTTTTCAATTGCCATCTCACCAGTTTACCATCAAGCAATTGACAACCACCACTTGTGCTTTTTCTATCAAGACTACAACCACCCAAGTCTGCATCTGAATAAGCTTGAACAAAAAACCCAGTTTTTGAAGGATACCACAATCCTAACGAAATTAGTCCCTTAAGATAACAGAATATATTCTTCACCGTAGTAAGATGTGGTTCTCGTGTATTTGACTGATACCTAGCACAATTACACATAGAAAACATGATATCAGGTCGACTAGCAGTAACATAAACTAATGAACCAATCATGCTTCTGTAAAGAGTTAGATCAACTGCAGGTTTATCTAACAAAGGTGTTAGCTTTATGCTAGTTGCCATAGGAACTGATAATTTCGTGCTATTCGTCAATCCAAACTTCTCTTGAAGATTCTTCGTATATTTTTTCTTGATTGATAAAAATACCTTCTCTGTTTTGATGAGTATTCAACCAAAAAAAATTATTGATTTTTCCCATCATGCTCATTTCAAACTTGATTTCCAACTTTCTTTCGAAACAAATTTGAACAAACATTAGATAATTTCCAACAAACTTTAGATAATTTCAACATAAATTTGAACAAACATTAGATAATTTCCAACTTTCTTTCGAAATAATGTGGGATCAACTGATCCTTGTTTAAATTTAGATTTTTTTAAGAATGAAGTAAGCGTTGGATACCATGCTCGTGGTTCTTGTTTTCAACCATAAACTGCCTTATCTAAGATATAAACATGATCAAGATGTTCTTCGTTAATAAAACTTGGGGGTTGTTCTACATAAATGGTTTCTTTAAGCTATCCGCTTAAAAATGCACACTTCACATTCTTTTGATAAACATCAAATTCTTTGTGAGCTGCATAAGCCATAAAAATACTAACAGCCTCGAGTCTTGCGACAAGGGGAAAAAGTTTCTTCGTAATCAATTCCTTCTTGCTGAGAATAACCTTTAACAACAAGCCTGACTTTGTTTCGAACAATTTTCCCATCTTTTTCGGTTTTATTTTTGAAAATCCATTTTAACCTGACAATCGAAACATCATTTGGTTTAGGAATTAATCTCCAAACCTTGTTTCTTCAAATTCAGATAATTTAGATTGCATTGCAACAACCCAATCCGAGTGTTCCATTTCCATCTTAATTGTCTTTGGTTCAATCTTGAAGATAAAAAAAATTAAACATGCAAAATTCTTGATAAGTATTTAGTACCTCATTCTTTGCACGAATTTGAGCTCTTTTAAGACTCCTTCTTGTGGATTCCCAATTATTTGTTCCTTCGGATGATATTTTGTCCATTTTCCATTGGTGGATAAGCTGATGGATCAAATTCTAATGGTGCATCTTCATATAAATTATCATGTTTTGAACCTGCAATTGAACATGCATCATTAAAATCATGAAAATCTTCATTTTGTTCAAAATGTCTGCCCTCAACATGATGCTCCCCCTCAACATTAGCATCTACTCTCTCATTCTCCCCCACAAAAGAATGCTCCCCTTCATCAAGAGTATTTGAATCCAATTGCTCCCCCTCCACTGGATTTATATGAATAGTTTCGTCGATTTCTTTAGGATGTGATGTTGAACTATCATTGAGCTTTGTTGATTCAGAGATATGGTTGTCATTGGCATTAACTTCAACATCAACAGCATGATCTTAAATTCCAAAAATCAAATCATAATCAACATCCAATGGTTGTGAAAGTTCAGATTCTTCATGAATTTCTTGTAAAATAGGATGATTTTCAAAATGCTTTTCAG